CAAAAATTAACTTCGTGATGTGCCCAGTGGTTGACCAGCTCATCGAAGCAAATATGTGGCAATGGAAGCCAAATTTTAAAAAAAAGAATGTTTTCCGCTACAGATTAATGTGGCCATATTAATAATTGCATTTCAGAAGTACGTAGGAATGTTTGTTATGGGGTCTCGATCACTGGATGTAGTTGGTTACACTTGAAAAAGTATTTGGCAAAAATAAATTTACATCAATTGAATATTACTTAACTTCTCAGTACAATATTTTTAAAATGCTATTTTCATGAAATTATTCCTAGAAATAAAATATACACAAATAAATTTAAATTAAATTATATACAATCTCATATTATTACTTATTTAAGGAATAATTATTGAAAAAGTGACGTATTAACAAACATACTCATATTTCAACAGACGCCAGCCTTATACAGAAAAGTCTGTATCAGACACAAATTTTCCATTCAATATAACTTTGTAAATGTTTATAAAAGATTAATAATTAACTTTCAGATTAAATTTTACAACTTCCGGCAGTGTCAACCACTGGCACACAAGAGACGACGATATTAAAACGGATCTCAAAAATATAGTGGTTAACTGAAATGGTATGTGAGGTTATGGGCAACGAATGCAGATGTATACTTTGCTCAGTTACGTTACCTGTGCTGACATCTTGCGTCTGATGTGACTGGGTCTACAGTTGGTGCACGGATCAGCAACATGGCACTAGACCAAGTTCGTATCACTGCTTTCACTCTACTTAGCAACGCTTTAACATAGTACGAGGTAATAACACATGGAATAAGTAACATTTTCTTTACAACACGGTTACAAAAGATGTCAACTTTCCACACAACCACTCTTAAAAGCACGTAATTCAGATGTACATCTGTTATCGATCAATCCGGAAGACAGATTGATAACTGGCGATAGAAAAGTATCGACCAACGGTCAATACAAGACGTATCGACCAACGGTCGATACTACAGGTATCGACAAGAATGTGGGTGGATTTTTGATATGCACAAATCACATATAAGAACCGTCACAGAAAAGAACGTCTAATATAACATTCTAGCTTATTTTTATCTTCGCTTATTTGAAGACACTGTATCAGTTTCAGAGATTATGTAGCAACAACTGGAAATAGTAGAATCATTACGAGTGGTAGACGTAACTTCAAAACGCTGTGGATTTACGGTCGGCCCATAAGGTCGAAAATCCCTTGATAGTCTGACACGGCATCGTTTACAATAACATGACAGTAACACATACGTACATAAACATAAATATTACACTGTTATTTTATAAGATGAATAACTTTTTTATCAGAGTGACGCATATACATTCATCACGGTGGTTATCGATTATTTTGTACTCTCTCCACCTGATCCATTCTTTTACCTTACTTAATCGTGTGAGATTTTCTTCTCGTAATTTACGTTGAACCTGCGTAAGACTTTGATCATTATTCAACCAGTCAAGGAAAACTCTAACTCAGACTCAATATCTTTGTTTTCCTCGTGTTTCTGTAAGAGAATATTGGTTAGGTTTTATAAATCTCAGGGTTGTAATATGCGAAATAAATGCAAGGACTTAGCTTCTAGGGCTGTGTACCACATATTTACAAGATCCGTCAGCTTGTGATACGGTAAATTTGCTTCCGTGTGTTACTAGTTCATTAGAACAAACTTCCTGATTTTAAACCAATATCACGTGCCCTGAAGTCAAACAGCCTTCGTATTTTTTGACTTGACGTATGTAAACGAAGTTCGCAATCTCCTCATACAAATATAACATTTCCAATTTAAAAAAGTATCCCTGGAGGAAATTTTATTATGAGTAAATACTAAGAATTCACGCAATTTTCACACACATATGATTATATCCAACTGAGAATTTTCTCAAGAAACAGAATATCCCAAAAACAAAAGGTGTATACACACAACCATTACATATAACAAAAGTGTTTTTAATACCAGTACTGTACATGAGATGAACTAGGCATTTTTTACGCATAGGAAAGATGACCAATGTGTAAAAAAAATTGTTGGAAATCCTGAAGCGTGGAGTCTACTTAAAAGACCAATGAATGGTAGAGGATAATATTAAAATGGGTCTTGAGGAAACACGGTTTGATTGGATTCATATGATTCAGAGTATGGTCTGGTAGCAGGATGTTGTGCAATTAACTTTCGAGTTCTATAAAAGACGGTAATTTCTTAACCACCTAAACGTACTGTTAGCGTCTCAAGGACAATTCTACTGCATGAAATATGGAAACATATGATTACCGACATTATTGAAAGGGTTAATATTACCGAATGAGCTACCGATATTTGTCCGTCTTGGTTTGCCTGTTGTCCTATAGAGGCGCTACCTATATGCTCACTGCTGAGGACCGCGGATAGATGAGGTTATGTTTGGAGAGTTGGGGTGGGTGTGGTCGTATTTGGATATGTTATGTAGATGGCTACTTAAACAGATACAAATAAGTAAGCCTACATACTTGAAATGAAACAGCAATTTCATTTTTTTTTATATTTCGCACTTTGAATGCGTGTTACAAAAATAGAACACATCACAAATACATATTGATAAACAGACCCTCATTTACGACATCTATGTTTAAAATTCGAACTAATACAGAATAGGTCTGTCACATGTGCTTTAATACAAATTAACATCAAGTGATAAGGTAAATGGGAAATCTGTGAACAGTAGAAACGTGTACAAACATTAGAACTTGAATATGATGGAAACGATATAACTCAACTCAGCTTTATGTCCATAAAACAAATCCAGTTTGATGGTTTTACTACGCACTGAAAAACTATTGTAGCATGTTAATACACCACAATGAAAAATTATGGTCAATATGTAAGAGAAAGTGTAGTTTAACAGTGGGAGTAGAGATAGAGCAGAAGTATCTGACATACCTTCCAGATTTCAGATCCATTGGCCACTCTGTAATGTGTTGTGTAGGCCCCCGGAGCTAGGCTAGACTAAATCTTTTACCTGTCAAGGATAAAACCCCAGTTGTCCAACCTGTAGTCACCCAGGCTCGAGGGAAACAGCCATTCAGATATACTTCCATGTCGAAATGCATCTTCGTGCGTTGTGCTCAATCAAAAACTGGGGACAACTTTACCCTTACGACACCCCAAAACCACAATACAAATTACAGTAAATTGAGGAAGCGTAGTTGGGGTTACCAACTCCACCTATGGACAAATCAATACAACTACCATTTACGTGTGCAAACAAGACAGAAAACAAAAATTAGAAAACACAGCAGTAATTCAAATAAGATTCATACTATGGTCTAGAAATAGCAGTGTAAAAATATATTATAATTAAGAGAAAAAATAAGTTTAATAATAGCTAATTTTAGACTATAATTAAAAAATATTTCAATACAACAATTATTATATCAAGAAAGGTTTAAACTTTTACAAACAGATAAAACAATCAAATATAAGATTATAAAATGGGCAAAATTAAAACACAAATATCTGTCTAAAGTTTTGAGACAAAAATATATTGATTAACCAACACACATTTTGGAAATTTTCCATATCTCATTTTTTCATATTAAAATATTAAACACGTCAGAATCTTGCTTCAATTCCATCGTCAGGTTGAAGTGTGAACTTGTTCAGTCCATACATGGATAGAAAGAGAGATTTAATTCCATCCAACAGACCCCAAAAGACAAAGTTTCATACATTTACCTGTGGAAGGAAAACCAGCTTTCAAAATGTTGGGTTTCTAACCTAAAAATTTGGCAATGGATAATATCCAAAGTATGTTAGTTTCAATAACAAAGTTTACATAACACAAATTTCACTGTGCATATAATTAAATCTAACAAATACATTCCCTTTAAAATGAAAACATCCAAAGTCTCACGAAATTGTTAAACCTTTGAATGTCTATTTGTTGAAAGTTATGTGTGATTATTACTTTACTAAAACACTCACGTAAAATACGCAACAACTTTCCAAGGACATTCAACAATTAGCATTACGACAAACATGTACAGACAAGCAAGCCTTCTGCCAAGAGTAATTTTACTTGGAAGTCTTTCCCTTTTGAGAAATAAAATGTCTGTTCTCACACGAATCAACGGAACTGAAATAATTAATTTGTTCGATGCCGGCAGACACGGTTTATGAATATTATTTCACCAGCAATGAAATTAATACGATATAATCAGTAAATTAGAGCCCATATAAGTTTTGGACTCTAAATACTATATGTAATATTCAACACAAATAAAATTGCATACTTTTTGGTTAAAACCATACAAAAATGTTCGCATCGCATTTCCCGGGAAAAAATACAATTTCACATATTAATTTTAGGGTACATTTTGATAATAAAGAATTTATCTTACATATCAGTAAATATCAGTAATATCTCGAAAGAGATATGGAAAATTTACATTACCAAGATATTTAACGAGGATGTTAGAACCTTGATGGTTATCTTTAAACAAATGCACGACCTCTTATCTGTGAACACTTTTGAAAATAATATATAGCTTTTCACGAATGTAACTTCTCACTAGCAAGTTGGGCTTGGAGATGAAGACGAAACTAGTGAAGTGTTACGTATGGAGCAGAGACTTGGACACTCAGGAAGAAGGAACAGAAATACCTGGAGAGTTTTGAAATGTGGTGTTGGAGAAGAATAGAGAAGATCAGGTGGACGGATCGAGTGACAAACGAAGAAGTATTGAGGAGAGTCAACGAGCAAAGAAACATTCTGCAGGCGATTACACGAAGGAAAGCTAACAACTGGCTGGGACATATTATGAGAAGGAATGGATTAATGAGTGATATCACCGAAGGCCAGGTTGAAGGAAAGAGAGGACGAGGAAGAAGATTGATACAGCTAACCGACGATCTTAAACAAGGAAAGAAGATGACGTTCCAGGAATTAAAGCGAGAAGCCGAGAATAGGGACAACTGGAGAGCTCTTTTTGGGCAGAGCAATGGACCTGTCGTAAGACAGAACACTTAATAATAATAATAATAACTGTATCTATGGTATTTGAATTTATGTAAAAATTGTCACTGAACACCGAAATAGATGTAGATAACGCTCTGGAATACACAACTGAAGAATTTTCTATGGACTTCTCATAGATTATTAAGCGAAGAGTAAAATTCGTGAAAAATAAATTGACTGACTTGCGTGAAATGCGGAGAGTTCCAGTAGCTTGAAGTTGAATGGTATGGAGGACAGCAGATCTGAAAGCAACTTAAGTTCAATTGAACTACAAATAATGATTTTCTTTTCCTTCCCGAGTAACAGCATATCTCATGGCACATTTTTAAAAGTCTTATAATAAAAACAAGACTATATCATATTTCGTCAAATATGGGGATTATTTTACAAGCTTTCATATCTAAAACCAAATGGCCATACCAAATACACAAAAATAAAATAACCTATTACGATGGGCGAATGGTTTTACATTAGCTATAGTACTTTTTAGTCCAATTCAGGCCGAGTAACGTAACAAAATAAATATGGAATTAGCTGTGTACTTACAAAAAATTATAAGGAAATATTAATATTGGAAGCATTTAATTATGAAGACATAGAATTATATTTGGAGAAATCAGATAAAACAATTGAATAAACTATTTTTTGAAAGTAAGTAACTCCAGATTTTTGCCTCTACACTTTGATAATTGTTTTCGAGACTATAAAATGAGCATGATCTATTCACGAAAATATTAGTATGCAGGTACTGTGTACGCTCTTAACAATAAAGTATTTTTCTTTTAATTGTGTTGAAAAGAATAAACTCCATGAAATATAACATTTCAAAAGACAACAAATCTTTCTTAAGATGGCCGTCTTCTGAGTTGTTGCGCCGTGTAGTCTGGTACACGGCGCAAACACCAGAAGACGGCCATCTTCAGACTCACCACGAAAACCACAAATCACACAAAATCTTTATTCTTTTACTGAAGTCCTGTGCTGAGTACGAACAGCTATAGAAAATATTACTTATTTTCCAATGTTGATGGTTTCATACATATTGGATGTCTTTCTTGTTCATTATTTTAGTTTAAGCATTTAATATATTATGATTTAACAGTAGATCTTGCATTTGAATACTCTGATATGGAAGCAGCTGAAATTAATGAGACGATAAGAAAGAACATAATACACAATGACGAAAAGTATCACAGAAATACGGTTAAGACACCATGTACATAAACTATACTGCAAAAGCCGATACTAAATAAACTTTAGGGTCTCCCTGTAGGTTATTTCACTATTATTCTCTTTAAAGTTACTTTCCTTACCATTTGAAGTCTTTGCTTTCGTCAGTTATGAATGACAAATGCCATCTGGTGGAACATCAAAGACCCATGATGGCTGCTGATGATTCAGCTGATACATGAATCAGCATCTTACAAACAAACAATACAGGCTACAAAGTTGAGCAGACCTGGACATTAATTCAGAAGCACAATGAAACATCTCACATTAAAATAACACAATATTGAGGCAAATATGTAAATTACTACATTCAAGGCTGAATGTTACGGAAATCCATACACTCTATAATAGAAAATATCTTGAAAATGATATAATATATCGATTTAATGTAGAATATTTCTCTAAGAATTTAACATATCCATTTTGCATACTCTAAATTGATGTTTGCAGCGAGTGCAAAGAATTATAAATAATTCTTGTCCTTACGTTACAATATCAAAGTTCCGAGAGTTATGTCGAAATGTGAAATCAGTTAAAATCTGTTCACATAACAAGAAGTAAGAAACCGTCCACTGCCGATAATTCCGCAAATTATGACAAAAGTTTATGAACGTTGAGCCTCAAATGGTTGAATCACCGCCATATTGTATTAAAGTATCGTAATCTACTTCACCAACCACAGTTACCAGAACTGAAAAATGTTTGTAAGAAATACACGTCTTTTGAAGCACTGGCGATTCCATGGAATCGGGAGTCACGGTGGGGACGGGACGCTGCACACACATATTCATAACAATCTTTTGTTTCCAACAAAAGTCGTAAAACAGTTTAGTTTCAATGGCAGTATTATAATGAATGGTATTGTTACATTATAATTCCTAAGCTGTCATGTTTTTTACGATCATCAATACTAATTTTTTGGTTATCACAAAATCTTCAATTCTTTAACTGTCATCTACACAAACTCATATAAAACTATGGAATTCACTTGTGACACTTTTCCTTCATCTTCTTATTGTGTTCAATACACGCCTCCGTGCTTAAACAGTCTCATGAAATTCACTTCCTCAATTTGCATCGCTCTTAATAACACGTACAAAATTTTCATTTTTAGCAGCTAAAATTGTTGTTTCTTCTACCACTCTTCTCTTTCGATTGTAACTATTGATGGCAGAGATGAGTAAAATTCACTTTCAAAAGTCACGCCAACATCTACGCCCTCCAGACCAAGAGTTGCATCATCCTCCACGTAACCCACAATTTCTTCAGCAACATATGTTAGCACATCTTCGTCATATTCAACTTCAAAGGCTACACATCCATTGTCATGTTCATCATCTAAACGTGTCTGTATACCCATTTTATTTTCCCTTTCGCTCGGTTGTACAACTTCGTGACATTTAAATTGAACAGTTTCTTCACATTCACCAACAGCTACCTGATCCTCGCTTCTATCACTTTCAATTGTACGACGACTTACTTGATCTTTATCTTCTGTAGCTTCATAAAATCCACCTTCAACAACTAACCCTCCACTGACACCTTCTAAATCTCCATTTTTATTTGCCCCTGCGTCATCTTCAGTATCGCCAGCAACACTAATTTCTTCAGATTCCTGAAGTTCACGTTCAGACGCAACACCGGCAAATTCCATACTTTCATTTCCATCTGTTGTGTTTCTATATACTTCAGTTTCATCTTCAGTATCGTCAGCAACACTAACTTCTTCAGATTCCTGAAGTTCACGTTCAGACGCAACACCGGCAAATTCCATACATTCATTTCCATCTGTTGTGTTTCTATATACTTCAGTTTCACCTTCAGTATCGTCAGCAACACTAACTTCTTCAGATTCCTGAAGTTCACGTTCAGACGCAACACCGGCAACTTCCATACTTTCATTTCCATCTGTTGTGTTTCTTTGTACTTCAGTTTCACCTTCAGTATCGTCAGCAACACTAACTTCTTCAGATTCCTGAAGTTCACGTTCAGACGCAACACCGGCAACTTCCATACTTTCATTTCCATCCGTTGTGTTTCTATGTACTTCAGTTTCTCCTTCAGTATCGTCAGCAACACTAACTTCTTCAGAGTCCTGAAGTTCACGTTCAGAAGCTACCCTTCGACTGATAATTTCATGTTCACTTTCAGTGGATTTGCTTCCAACCAAAGATTCCTGAACTTCATTTATGTCAGATTTAATTATTTTTAAATGATATTCACTTACAACAATCTCAACTTCATGAACATCTTCGTGTGTATCGGACGTATCTGTCAGTATGTTGCCTTCGACTTCTCTTTTGTCAGGAACGCAGACTTGTACAGTCTCCTGAAAATTTCTTTCAACATCTTTGCATGTATCTGATTCGACTGGAAATTCGAAGGATGGAATTTTGCAACGCTCTAAAACGACCATAGGGAACTTATTAGAATGCTTCAGTTCATGAACCTTAGCATCAATCTGATGTGAAAATTTCGCCAAACATGTTGAGCAGATAAAATGATTATTCGACTGTGGATCCAAGTCTTTAACATTCAGTTCGTTAGTCACTGATTTCGAGGTTTCCATGTGATGTAACCTCCGTCTTTTGCAACGTGTTGTCAGCATTTTACGTTTTCTTTTGCGACGTGGTAAGCAAGAACGTCCATTCTTCGTCTCTGGTGATTTCCTATTTGAGGCAGTTACCATATTATCTGGATTTAAAACGTCATTAACAATTTTCGATTCACCACACTCAACATTCTCTTGGAACTGAACATCATTCTTCTTACATTTGAGTCTGTCACAATAATTCTCATTTTTATTTGCTTTCAGGCTTTCTGTCAATTGTTTTATTGTGACAGAAGCTTCTAACAATTCAACATTTTGTTTCTTTGAATTTTCCGAACCATTTATAATCTTCTTTGGAGATTTATTTCTTTTCTTGTTTCCCTGTTTGATATTACTCAACCCCCTGTTAGGTTTTTTGACTGGGGTTTCAGATAATCCAACGTCGTGTTTACTAGAATTCTGTAAATCAACCACATCATTTTGTGAAGATAAAATATCTTTCTTGTTTTCCTGTTTGATATTACTCAACCCCCTGTTAAGTTTTTTGACTGGGGTTTCAGATAATCCAACGTCGTGTTTACTAGAATTCTGTAAATCAACCAAATCATTTTGTGAAGATAAAATATGTTTCTTGTTTTCCTGTTTGATATTACTCAACCCCCTGTTAAGTTTTTTGACTGGGGTTTCAGATAATCCAACGTCGTGTTTACTAGAATTCTGTAAATCAACCAAATCATTTTGTGAAGATAAAATATGTTTCTTGTTTTCCTGTTTGATATTACTCAACCCCCTGTTAAGTTTTTTGACTGGGGTTTCAGATAATCCAACGTCGTGTTTACTAGAATTCTGTAAATCAACCAAATCATTTTGTGAAGATAAAATATGTTTCTTGTTTTCCTGTTTGATATTACTCAACCCCCTGTTAAGTTTTTTGACTGGGGTTTCAGATAATCCAACGTCGTGTTTACTAGAATTCTGTAAATCAACCAAATCATTTTGTGAAGATAAAATATGTTTCTTGTTTTCCTGTTTGATATTACTCAACCCCCTGTTAAGTTTTTTGACTGGGGTTTCAGATAATCCAACGTCGTGTTTACTAGAATTCTGTAAATCAACCAAATCATTTTGTGAAGATAAAATATGTTTCTTGTTTTCCTGTTTGATATTACTCAACCCCCTGTTAAGTTTTTTGACTGGGGTTTCAGATAATCCAACGTCGTGTTTACTAGAATTCTGTAAATCAACCAAATCATTTTGTGAAGATAAAATATGTTTCTTGTTTTCCTGTTTGATATTACTCAACCCCCTGTTAAGTTTTTTGACTGGGGTTTCAGATAATCCAACGTCGTGTTTACTAGAATTCTGTAAATCAACCAAATCATTTTGTGAAGATAAAATATGTTTCTTGTTTTCCTGTTTGATATTACTCAACCCCCTGTTAAGTTTTTTGACTGGGGTTTCAGATAATCCAACGTCGTGTTTACTAGAATTCTGTAAATCAACCACATCATTTTGTGAAGATAAAATATCTTTCTTGTTTTCCTGTTTGATATTACTCAACCCCTTGTTAAGTTTCTTGACAGGGGTTTCAGATAATCCAACGTCGTGTTTACTAGAATTCTGTAAATCAACCACATCCGTTTGCGTAGATACAAAACGTTTCTTGTTTTCCTGTTTGGTATCGCTCAACTCCTTCGTTGGTTTTTGAACAGCTTTCGAGGATGCAGTCTGCCCAACTTCCTTCTGCAAGATCTTTTGTGGTGAATGTAGTTCATCGTTATCTGTATCCTTTCCTTTCGCTGGTTTAAATGTCTCTTTCTCAAGCCTCTTAACTTCACTGAATCTCCAAAGTTTCATCACATCTATCAGTTTGACAAAGCACTGTTGACCGAGCTGTGATATAAGTTTCAGTTCACACTCTGTTTTACAACATACTGAACACAGTGACTTCCCGATGACCCGACAATATTTAAAATCCAATTCACTCGAGTAATTTTTCCCACATTCACTGCATTGCTTAAAATCTGTCTTCATAGAAATCTCAGCGACTGCCATAGTCTGTGTACCATAATTGCTTTGACCTTGAAGTCTCTTCATTACATTTGTAGATCCATTTGAAAAGCCATTCTTATTTTTAGATTCTGAATCAGACGCAGTGAATTGTGTTCCTTTGAAGTGTGGAGAACCTGAACGGATTTTTCCTCCTTCACGAGCAATATCACTGTCCTTACGTGAGGAATTTTGAATTTTACATTTTCGACTCTTAGTTCTTACTTTGTAACTTTTAGGTTCCATTATTATTTCTGTTTATATATTTTCCTTTGGCTACTGTTAACCTGGGAGAATCATTTATATGGTTGCTGGCTTCAGGAAAATCTTGTGTTCTCTAAAATTGTCAGTTACTTTGTTTTCACGAATTTTATTTCCAAATTTTATGTGCCTGATGACTCCCCACTTGCTTCAAGCTTATGTGAAAATAATTCCTCTCTCTCTCTATCTTTGTTACGTGTGAAGCAAGATGATAATTCTCATTTATATCATTGTTTCATTTGTTGCATCCTGCAAACAACAAGCAAAATTAAAATTCTAACCCAAAGTTACAAACGTTGTATTTTCTCTAAAACAATAACATCTTTACAAATAACATCTAATAATTCTCTGATGACATATTTTTATGAATTCGTATATAAGTTCCATTCACTTTAATTCATTTTATATGCTAATTCAACGAAGAGATTATATGAATAATTTTATATTTATTTCTCAAGTACTTTAACAGATTTTCAATTCAACAGATTTTGATTATACAAGTTTCATTCATTATTATTAAAATGCTTGATTGAAATAAAGTGAGATTTGGGGTTCTCATGGCAAGTAGAATGAAGATAGCTGTGTTCCGAGATACTGTGCCACGTAATATCGTAGGAAGTTCACCGATTCTTCACCGGTGATTGCTGCCTCTGTCATCAGCCCAAGACCTCCTAAATACAAAGGAGTACTAACCACTGCATTCTGTCAAGGACTAATTATACCTATATTCCTTCAAATGTCTCTGCCTATACAGGAAGTGTAGAAGAAATTATAAGTCAGGAAATATTAAATTTCGTGATCTACTTTTGTCTATAATTATCCACCTTTGCAACTACCCGACAGTTTCCAGACAAAACAATCTCATAAATATATCAAAAGTGAGTGATTTCTGGCTCGTTGTATATGCAAAACATCTACATTTCTCTCTAATACACTAACCTAGTACAGATAACATTAAAATTATACTAAAACTCCTTAATTTGTAATTTAACTTCACAAACGCCTTTAAACAAATGCAATATTTGAAGCTTGTCATTCTTAGACAATTTACGGTTTAACAGTGACTGATCTAATATTAGCCCTCCTTAGATAAGTAATTGTTATGTGGTCTGTAAATGCGCAGATGAGAGTGAAGAGTTAAAATAACAGACAGCAAACCCAAATGTTTATTATACACGGCTGGAATTATTAACATTGTGTCGCACTTCTTGTAATGCAGCATAGCCAAAAAGTTTACATTCTCGGCTCATGCACGACTAATCATATGATCAAATAAAATTTAAATGTGATATTTCCTTAATATGTCAATATTTTTACAATTTCAATTTTTTATTATTGTTATTACTGTCCTCCATAATAACAAAACAGAATGCAGTAACTTCCGAGGTATCTCTCTTTTGTCGTCATACAAAATTTTACCAAATATTCTTCCGGCACGGTAAATTCCATTTATTAATTAAACTACGGCGGACAATGAATGTGGATTCTACTGTAATAGGTCAACTATCGATCATTTGAAAATGTTACAAAATTTAAGTATCTGGGAACAATAACAACAAATATAAATGTGGTCCACGTTGAAATTAAGAGTATAATGAATTTTGGAAACACTTATTTTTATTTAATTCAAAAATTCTTACCATCCTATTTTCTATTTAAAACACTAAAGATTAGGGCATGTAAATATGCTAGTTGTCTTGTATGGTTATGAAAAATGGTCTCTTACCTCGAAGGAACAACATAAATTTAAGCCAATTGAATAAAATTTTTCTTGGATATTATCCATCGTCTAGTAAATATAAAACGTAAAACGACGTTTCGGAGATGGGACTCTATCTCCGTCTTCAGGTTCCTATCTCCGGAGATAGGGATTAGCTCTATCTAGTGGGCCAAACTGTGTAGGAACCTGAAGACGGAGATAGAGTCCCATCTCCGAAACGTCGTTTTACGTTTTATATTTACTAGACGATGGATAATATCCAAGAAAAATTTTATTCAATTGGCTTAAATTTATGTTGTTCCTTCGAGGTAAGAGACCATTTTTCATAACCATACAAGACAACTAGCATATTTACATGCCCTAATCTTTAGTGTTTTAAATAGAAAATAGGATGGTAAGAATTTTTGAATTAAATAAAAATAAGTGTTTCCAAAAGCGTTTCAAAACAAAGTGCTCAGGAAGATATCTGGACCTGGAAAGTATTGAATAGGTACAAAATTTATAATATTACACAATGAGGAGCTTTGTGAATTGTACAGGCCACCTAACATGTTAAGGACGGCACACCACTGCCTTGATAAGACCCAGACTGGAACTCATACAAGTAGTTATCTGGGGTGTCAAAGCAAGTTATTCATGAAACCCCAAGGACAAAAAATAAATGTGAACAGGAACAACAATCTTATACCCCAGACTACAGAGTCCTTGCAATATTTTTAAAAATCCAATACAGAAACTTCCTGAAGCCTATGTCGTACGGCACGATAAAGTCCACCAACCAAGCACAGTGTACTGGGAAATAAACCTTCTGACTCATGACCCTATGTCAGTACATAAAAATACAATAGTTATCTTATCATTAACGTAATATATTACAATTAGACAAGTTCCCACTGCTTATAACTGTTCTTCCATTAAAATATTTTTGTTCAAAAAACAAAAAACCACGTGTTTACATCTAATTTCCCAGTGATCCACACAACATGCAGTAACTATTAAATAAAAGATTTTCTAATAATAGATTAAGAATGTAAAGCATGCAGAACCTTTACACTGCATTTATCTTATAATATACAAAAATAATTTTAAAAATCTGTAAATTATAACTTCCACGTGTCCTCTACGTCTTTCCACAGATACGTGACTTGTAATCACATTTTCAGTTGTATCAAACGGATGTGTTAGAAGACGAGATTTTAAATTTTCGACGGTGAAAACTAACTTACATTATTCTTCCAAAATGCTGGTAACCACCTACAAGATTTTTCAGGGGACACTTCTCAGAAGGCAAGACTCGAGATTTTAAGAGATGAGTCCATGGTCATACTTACCTTGCAAAGAGATCTATTTTACAAATGGCACATTGGGATTTACACTAATGGTACGTCTAAAGAATATTGCCATCTTTCTACACTTGAAATATAAACCACTACATGATAAATAAAGTTGCACGTTTTACTTCACACACAACAAATGTCTAAATAAATTTCGAAAATACCTCAAGTTCCTTTACTTTCTTCGATTTGTTTGTAGTATTTTCAGTTTATAATAAACTGAACACGTACCAAAAAAAAAAACCCGCAAGAATTTGTTGTTATAAGTCGAAAAGTATGACATCAAATCAACATCCAGAACAGTGTGTTCTGAACACATCAACTAAACAAGAGATTTACAAACGAATAAACTGTATTCTATCTTGCTGTACACAATCTGAAATCTCAATATCCACAAAACACCAACAACAAATACCACTTTCCGCGTGATAACTACGAATGTGTTGCTTGATGTTGGTATTACCGATACAGATACCAATACCGAAAAATGAAAATTCCCACACAAATGTAAAATCTCTCTTTTGTAAACATGTATTGTAGAATGACGATCGTTGACAATGAACTATCGGTAATTGGATTTGATGTCCTGATGATATTGACAAAGAGCTTATTTCCTAAGTTTTCATCGTAAACGAAAGCTGTATTCTGCGTAAGAGAAAAATAACGTCCATGAATAAAAATTCCTGCCTTTGGATCCATTACACGTCTCTTTACGACAGAGAAACTTCGCTTTATAATGCCCCATAACAAAATGAAATTTCTTCCAGACTTCGGATTGTGTCAGTGTTTCTCAGGGTCAGATTATAAAATAAGATGATTTGTTTATTTGTTTAAATCTTGTAAGTCTAATCACAATAAGATTCCTATTAAATATTAAAATATTACCATAATTAACATTTAAATATTTAAAATATATTAAATTATATTCTCTATCGAAATGTTCGATTTACATTAGAACATTTCGAACATTTCAATACAGAATATAATTTAATATATTTTAAATATTTAAATGTTAATTATGGTAATATTTTAATATTTAATAGGAATCTTATTGTGATTAGACTGACAAGATTTAAACAAATATATATTTATCACAATATGACGCAACTTTATCATCTCAAAAATAAGATAAGTTATTTAAAAATATATATATATATATATATACTGTATCTTTAATTTTCCATGATAATCTTTCAAGTTCGTCGAGTAGCAAGTAAAAATTAAGATATATTAGAAAAAGACGTCAGACTGTAGCCAATTTTAAAATGAACAGCAGTACTGATCTAACATGGACTACATGAAGTTTCTTAAACGAGTGAATGACAAAATTTGAAATTCTAATGGCGGTAAAAATATTGTGCGCTGTTATGGACTGCGATGCCAACATTTCGTATAAACTAGCTAACCACCTACAAGACTACCAACGTTTCGAAGATCGTACCGCCTCCATTTTCAACATTACAATCAACCCTGAAAATGGAGGCGATGAAACATTGGTAACCACGTATATAACACGGCGTCACTATGAACAATACTACAATCGACAGATATTTGAAATTCAATAACTGATAAAACTTCTAAAGGCACTGGGCAATCAGTTATAACCTACATCTAGATATCAAATCTAAAACTTCTTGACGATGGTGAAGAGTCAATTGAATAAAAATTTTCTTGGATATTATCCATCGTCTAGTAAATATAAAACGTAAAACGACGTTTCGGAGATAGGGATTAGCTCTATCTAGTGGGCCCAACTGTGTAGGAACCTGAAGACGGAGATAAGAGTCCCATCTCCGAAACGTCGTTTTACGTTTTATATTTACTAGACGATGGATAATATCCAAGAAAATTTTTATTCAATTTTACATCTAGATAGATATAAGACTAGAGAGGCGTAAAATTTTCCTGGCGTTTTTAATTATCTCAAACTGTGAAATGAAATATGTGTTAGCCTTTATTATGGCTGTTAAGAACCTTGTTCATGTGACACAGCATATATCTCCGGAAGGTTTTGTGTACTGTCTTACCGCAGAAGCATAATCAGTATTACGTAATACGGTAAAATGAACGAGTCTATTTACTTCTGTGAGATAAATCTAGTGGCAAGAATTTAAATTTTAGAAGACTTCATTGCAGATATGTCCTTGAAATATTTCGACATTGTTTTATTTCAAACTAACAGCGTCCCGGCAATATGATTACGGTTAAATATATCTAGTGGTTACATTTATTATTTTTATTGTCCCGAGGTGTAACAAAGGCTTGATCATTCGGTATGTACACCACAGGAAAAAGTTCTAAATTCAGCCATCTTCAAACCCACCGTCGTAAAAACCTCAAATCCTACAAAGATGTAATAAGTTGTTGACGGGTTTGGCTGGTGAAGTAATGTTATGTTTTTATAATAAATTCCATAAGATAATATAATTGCGTCATATTGTGAATCAAATATTAAAATATTTATTCGGTTTTGGTCCGTCTAATCACAATTATATTTAAAATTTACAAATAAGATAATTAAAATATCATTTTATGTTCCACATCGAATAATCGATTTACATTTGGAACATTTTTACAACATGTTTCGGGTTCATCGAACCATCTTCAGGTGTAAAATTATATCAACAAACTTAAGTTTGTTGACATAATTTTAATTTTAATTATTTATTTAATTTTAATTTTAATTATAGTTGTAAAAAAAATGTTCCAAATGTAAATCGATTATTCGATGTGGAACATAAAATGATATTTTAATTATCTTATTTGTAAATTTTAAATATAATTGTGATTAGACGGACCAAAACCAAATAATTAATAAATTCCATGTTCAGATCACATGAAATAGCTCCAAAAGATCATAAGTATGAAAGGTGTATATAATAACTGCTTTAATCTGAGACCCGACAAATGTCTCATCACAGACGAAGACCCTGAAAGGAACAAATCTAAACAGAGTAAAAAATGGTTACCATTGGAGATCATTTATACCGAAGGCAAAGGTCATCAAGAACTGTACAGTTCACGCAATGTAAGAAACTTACATAGTATATTTGTAGCTTGTCGTAATCTATCTGTATATTTGAACAATCTCATTTGTATAGATTCTAGAAAACAAACCACAAATATAAGTACACAGGGCTTACGTTAAAGTGACTTTTATTATGCAGCTAGCAGAGTGCGTGAAATATTACTGAAGGAGAATTCGACAAATGCTTATAATTATTATCAATCTTTATTGCCTGAAAGATTATCATAGACCTGATTATTTTGTACGTATCTTTAAATATCATACAAAAATTACAGTCCCTAAACCTAACAACATTTGTAATTACGTTATAATCTACAGCAATTAGTTTTAAAAATATTCGTCTGGGTTTTATCCATTACTTTCGTATAAATATAAAAAAGCCAAACCCAATCTTCCAAAGCAGGTTAGTTGCACAATGCATTTGTTGATATCTGAAGTGTATTACGCAGAGGAAGCGATTAATATTCATGGGACAGTTTCATTTTAATATTAATACGTTTGAATGAGAATTTATATCACATTTTTTAAAGGGTGACTCTTAACAGACATAAAAAAAATTATTATTATTACAAATGCGTGTTATACTTTCTTATGATAAAAACAGACTTTCTTTTCAATATTAACGAGACCCGAGGATAATTGTCCTTGACAGGTCAGACGTCCATTTCTTGGCTCAGACTATTTTGTTTTTCAGGGGAATTTTAGTTGAAGTAATTCAACTCTTACAGAACAAAGTAAAATCGAATTTTTGAAACCGAATAAAACTAAGAAGACATGTACAACATATAGAAATCCACCTTAAAGCGATCACTGTAGGAATTATAGAAACATTTGTGACAGACGATCATAGTTCACATTAATTATGAATTAAGACCTTTGTATGAGTAGAAATAAATGTCTCAGACGTGAACTTCAGACTCCCATTTGACTTTTTAGTTTTAATGGTGAAAATAATGAATTTTTATGACTAACAAAAAATAAGCTATAATCTTTAGTTATAATTGAGCGGATTTTTTTAGATAATAAATATTTCGTCGTTATTCTTTACAGTGTATTGTCAATGTTAAAGATACAATATTTTTTTTCCCTTATATCAAGGTGAATTGGATTAACCTATTTGTTCGTTACACGAGGTGAAAGGATATTTTTTCAGACAGGCGATTTATAATTTGTACTTGACATAATTAAGATGATTATAAAATAAAGTTGCTATACATGGAATATGTAGCACGCACGGAGGAGATTAGCAATGAACAAAACATGTCAGTCAGTTCTTAATTTAAAAACGAGGATAATATTAAAATGGGTCACATTGAAATAACGTAACTTATGATGGTACTAACTGCTGTCAACTGGATCCAGATACAATCCAGTAACAAGTTTTCACATATCCAAATAATTATATTATTAACCGAGTAATTATAAAAGTTTTCAAAACGATTTTAACCGAGGAGTTAATCAAATATTTTTTTTAAATAACTTCTGCGCACTTCCAAATAATCTGTCCTTGATCGTGGTAATAAAATGCTGAATCATAAATCTAAAATTTGACCGAATTTAAGATGATAAGAACTCCATAGAATAATACGAGTATTTTCACGTTACATAACCGCTCCAAACCAACTTTGTTTCAGACAGACGATGTACTCGTAAAGCATTCTCATAAAGAATGTACATTTTTATCCTACATCTGAAATATGATACATTCAAGATAAGGGAGTAAACATTAGCTGTAGGTTGAGAAATAAATTATTCTTTACGTCAGTTGTACTGTCTAAATGAGGACACCCAGTTTTATTTTAGTGTCAGACACAAACATACATGTCTAGTAGTGAATACGAAAGTGTAAAGTGCTCTAATGTTAATAAGTTTCAAACACCAAAGCTAAAGTCCTATAGTTTCGAGACATCTAATTCCTAATAACAACGATCATCAATATTTATCAAAATGGGACGTCAGAGCATCGTTAAAGAAGACACTAATTACAATGTAATCAGTGAAATTGAAGCTCCAGAGGGTGGTTGGGGGTGGATAGCTGCTTTCGGGGTGTCAGTAATGTTTGTAAGTAATTTTATAACTCTTTGTTATTTACAATATAATTCATATTAATTTTGTTTGTGTTTACTGAATATTCATTATAAAGTACAGCGTTAATTTGGTTTACATATAATCGTATTTAATCTTAAGAATGGCCAGCAATATCACGTGGTCATCTTTAGAGTTCTGACGTCACTCGTGACGTAGCATATCAACACGTTCTGTTGAATAGGTCATTTTTTTCTCCGTATAAAAATTCGGTTTGGCCGGGATATACTAAAACGTATTGAAGCGTGTAATTCTGAGTTGTAAAACTACGGTCTGCACTTTCGTCTTATATATATATAAAGACTACAAATTAATTCCCCACTGATTCTTACGCTGTCCATTTAAGTCTGCTCGTTACAGTGTGGGATATTTACCCTAAACTTAAAATATGCTATAAAAATTTCTTAATTTTAGAACAGCTTAGCGTGAAGGTATTTATAGTGAATTGGGAAGGATCAGGAAGAAATCGACCGTGGCCTATTTCAATATAAACTATATGACCTCAACCAGAGGGACTGGAGAAAACCTTGAAATATTTTGTCACAATTACCCGATTTCGACAAGACCACCGCTTTATAAGAAAATGAAAGTGTAAGGATTATAAGCTGGCTGATCAACACAGAGGATGATGGAGTTCAGTTTCTAAGTGTGGACAATGTATTAGACGACAGATAGTCACTGAAGACTGACATTTTCATATCGTTAGACGATAAAAGCCTATGACTAATCGGTATTACGATAGTGCATTGGTGGCAGAAGGTGAATTATCGATGTGTAATAAGTATCATGTTGTTTATTTACAGACTGTTGTAATTGCACCATTTTCGGTATTCGGATTATTATTTGAGGATCTCCTTGAGTCTCTTGGACAGGGAACACAGGCAGTAACACTGATCTCAAATCTGACTTCTAGCTGCAGCTTCCTATTGGGTATTTATTTATTTATTTATTACGAATAAATAAGATGTGGACGGAAGTGGCAGTGACCTAACTTTACAAACTATTACGCCATTTACCTGCACAGACTTACATAATTAATTTAAAAAATATTGTAGTAGTAAAATTTCTAAGATTAAAATAAGTATAAAATAAATATTTATTGCATATTTAAAGTAATGTGTATTTATTTCTAGGTGTGGTCGTTAATTATGTCTTAACGAAGTACTCATGTCGACAAGTTGGAGTTGTTGGGTCTATTATATACTTTATAGGCAGTTTCATGTGCGCATTTGTCAACTCTATGTTCCTACTTGCCTTTGCATATGGAGTCCTACAAGGCATTGGTTTGGGATTAATGGTACCGGCAGTGTTCACTAGTTTTAATCATTACTTTGTTCGTAGACGAACATTCGCTATGGGTATAACACAAGTAATTACAGGGGTAGGATGCATGGTTATACCCATAATCCTACAGAGACTAATAGAAGAATACGGTACTAGGGGAACTCAAGCCATTATTTCAGCCATGGGTCTTAATTCATTGCTTTCTGCCATCGTTCAACAACCTGTAGAGAAGCACATGAAACGTAAGAAACGAATCAGAATACAAAAACAAGAATTTGATTCCGAAAAACACGGCAATATCAAAAGAGAATCTTGTGACCTTGAAATGAGGATTGTCAACAGAAAATCAGATTCTGTGAAAGAAACACAAATATCTGAGATCACTGAAGGATTCTGTCATAATGGCTTCCCAGAACGAGACAAAAATATCTCATATGAAAGTAATAACAGTGCGATTTTGACTAGAGAGACAAACGCATCAGACGCAGATGTGATAAATATTCGTACCAAATCAGATTCCCGACAAGAATCTGAGACAAATGGTAACCAAAATGATCCTCTTGGCGATCACACTGAAAATACCAAAGCAAATATTTTAACAGAACACTTTAACGAAGTTCTCGCTAGAAGCAGCGAAGTAAACAAACAGTCCCAAATCATCACGGTCGATTATGCCAGAAACCAAACAGAATTTGACAAATATGACGCCCAGGAAGACGATTCCGTGGAGCGACGTTTGCTAAATGATGAATATTTAAAAATACATTATATTACGAAACGCACGTCCGCAGATTTGGGCTCAACTACAACAGGAAACCCTGTGTCCATCAGTGATTCTAGGGCCACAGTCACTAGTCTGAGGAGCTGGACCAGCAGCTGTGAGAGGAGACGACGTACAAACGACGACCTATCATCGTTAAAGCCATCGGAAACCCGAGGGACACACAATGTGTGAGTACGTCTTACCACATGGATAAATAATAAACATTCGTTTATCTGTGTAATGGAACAAAACAGCATTTTCGGGTCAAGTGTTGGCGGGCTGAAACGATATCGTAAGTCTAAGGTCACTGTTGCTCAACTAACTAGACGGCTCACGGAAGCCAAAGGTTCATCACCGAACTAACCAAAGCCCTCCACCGGACCCTGTCCCTGGGCCAACAAAATCCAGTCTCCTTCAACTCCTATCTCCCATAGATCCCGCCTGAGATTATCCTCCCATCTACGTCTAGGTCTCCCCAGAGGTCTCTTCCCCTCAGGCTTCCCAAATAGTGGACCCAACCAACCAGATGGCTTAC